ATTCAAGAAAAGGTCTAGAAGATGCTTGAAGTTGAACTAACCTTTAGAACAGAGCCTGGAGGCAGTAGATCATTGTTAGCATGGTACTGTAATTACAAACATATAGAAATACCCAAGCTAACTGCTTTCTATCAGGGGTGCCTCAGCTGAACCCTGCTTGTATAACCCCAGCAAAGGGAGTCTGATGTACAGCAACTTGAAGCTTTATTGCCTGCAAAGGGCGAGTCAGAAAGGGAGCTTCACTTGAGAGGCTGCAGCACAAGGTTTGCTCACCAGCCCAGCGGCTTCTTGCCCTGAAGGGCAGAGTTAGCAATACTTTTCTCTCTACCATCCTCTTGTGCTTGTGGAGTTGTCAGGCGGGACTGAAAATTTCCTTTTTCCTCAGGCTGTCCTTGGAGGAAGAGAATACAGCAGAAATCCAATACCCTGCAAACAAATCCTAGCTTCCTAGGTTCTCTGCCCTTTTTTGGGGGAGGTTTGTTCCTTAACATTGGTTGTTGGTGCAAGAAAGCTAGTTTGCTTCTCTGGACCCTGAATTTCAGTTGCTGTAAAGTCACACTTCAGCCTGTAAATCTGAGTCTCCTGGAGACTGTCAAATTAAACATCCTCAGCAGAGTTAAATATTGCATTTCTTCTTGCTGTTTCCCAGACTACAGGATTTCACCTGGTGGTCAGTCAGATGAATTTTTAAATTTAGTAAGTGTGGTTTATTTTTTTAAAAGTGTTTTCTAAACTCGTGATTTAAAATTTTATTTGAGGGAGGTTTGTTATTGTTTTACTAATGCTGTCTGAGGATCCCAGCTGGTGCTAAATTTTCTTCCAAAATTATAAGGCTGGACGTTTTGACAGATAAAAAAAAGTCCAATAGCAATTCCAGTCACCCAATCTGTCACTTTGGATTTTCATTCTGTCATTGTATAAAGTCTCATGTTTTTGTATGAAAATCTGATTAAAGAATGAGACTTTTAAAGGTGGCATCTGGAGTACACATCCCACTTTCATATGCCTAAAGATCTTTATGATTTATGAAATACCTAGTAAATAGGTGACCAGACACTGACCAAAGAAATTGACAAGATAAAATCATTGTTGATAATATAGTTAATAATAAAGTCTCTCTATATACAGGTACACTGAGGGAATTGCTAAAACTTAGGTTCCTTAAAAAAAAAATAGCTATGAGAAGAAAACATATATAAAATACTAAATAAAAAAGGTAAAGTGGAGAGATATGCCTCATAGGTAAGCAAAACAAAAACTCCCAAACCCAAAAACCTATATTTATATAAAAAAGCCCTCCTTTTTGCAGGTAGATTATGTTGTGCCATTACATTTCTCTTGAATATTTATGCTTGTGGTATAACAGAGGCCATGTCAAGGTCGATTGTGTTACTGTTTTTGGAACCTCATGTCTTCAGCCTAAGGAAAAGTCAAAAAAATTGTGTAAAGGCAGCAAAAGTGCTACCAGAAAAGTAATTTTTTTTTTATTCACCAAATTTCTATGTGCTTCCTTATTTTCTGGAATGGCTGGGTGAATTTCTCCTTAAAATACTATTATTTAAAGGCAAAGAAAACTGTAGGAATGAAAAGCAAAATGCTGTCTTTTCAAAGTTTATTTATTGTCTTATAGTACGATATTTTTTCCTCCTATTTCTGCTTAAGAATCCATTTTGTAATTGTACTTTGGTAAAGCAGGAGGTATCACCCTGGGTTTATTTCTGTGCAGAATCTTTGTGCTTCCTCCCCTGAAAAGTTTGGAGTGTTTTGCTTTGATACGGGCTATTGAGAAACGTGATTCAGTGTAATGATCAGCTGTTTCATTGGCTCTTTCATCTTGCGTGTGATAAATTAAATTTAACTATTAAAAAAAAAGATAGTTGTTACGACAGGATATCGAGTTGGTGGGAGATGCATCCCATTTTATACTGTCTCACAGCTGATTCTCAGCATGAAACTCCTTTATCTTTCCTCATACAAATAAATAGGAGATTTACCTATTTACCTTTCCCCAAGCAAATAAATAGGTGGATATTTTTTGTATAGTGCTGTTTGAGTACTGAAGATGTGTATCTGTAAATCCAAACTCTGCTCGTGGTGGGAATGTCCCTTTAACAGCTCTCCATGTCAGTTGCAGCGTGCCTAGCAACACCAAGGTCCTGGAGCTGACTTTGCCAAGGAGCAGTGCCAGAGGTTCAGGAGGCCAGCGCTGCTGGGGGGAAAGGATGGCAGTGAAGGTGGCAGTGCCCTCCTCCAGGATCAGCTCATTTGCAGATCTGTCAGTTTTGTTGTCCCTGTCACCAAAAGGATGAGTTTAAAGCCTTTGCCTTCATCCCCTGCTCCTCTGTTACCTCTGTCTCTCTTTAGGCTGTTTTATGGATGGGGTAGTGCATCATTCTGCTCAACTGAATTAGATTTATTTTGTGGGATTGTTTGGTTTTTTTATTATTATTACAATATTTTATGTATGTCATTTTAATGGCAAAACCAAATATTACTGTGTTAACTAGATGCCAATTAATTTTTAGGCCTTTCCAGAAGTGGAAGCATCACTGAGGTAGTGTTTTCCTGTCACTTGTGGCGTTGCCTGCAACATTGCTTAAAGATAGTATTTTGCAAAGATTACATGATTTTTGCTAAACCAAACATGA